AAAAGGATTCATGGACATCTTTCAATCCGATCTTCCGCCAGTTCACGATATTCGTCGTCTGTTCATAAGATGATAGCACGGCAAAAAGAATCTTTACTAGTCCCCCTTGTGGATTGACGCAGTCGGTGGCCTTCAGTTCTTCCATGCGGGTGCGTTGTCACAGTTCTCCTTTCCTAAATTAAACTGTCTAGAAGGTAGTGCCGAAAGGAACTCTACGAATTCCTGTTATCACTGCCTTGTTAGTCAGCTCTTTCAAGATTAATAACAAGATTTACCAACGACCGTCGCTGCTAAGAAGGATTCATTTCACTGTCATTCGCCCTGTCTAATGAACCCATTTCTTTGATAGTTGCTCGTTCTCCGCATTGAGGAACACCAAAGTATGTGGAGAGATGTGCTTTTATTTTTATATTACGTTGTTTAGTAAGTTATTTTAAGTGGCATAATGAAAGCAATCACCACTTTTCGTAAGATTTCACTCAGCAGATAATACAGTCAGTTGAAAATATTTTGATTAATGCTAGTTTTGTCGCTGTATTATAGTTTGGCATTTAATCTTGCTTCATAATCTGCGTAGTAACCTCACGACGTCCTTTCGTTATCCATACTTGAAACTCTCATCACGGAGAACATGAAGATGTCAGAGTGGGAATCGTATATTTTAGTGAAGATCCCTGGCGTATATGCCTCTGCCGTAGTCGTGAGCGCATAGTGTGAACTCTGAAATTCTCTACCATCGAAGCTTTGATGGCCGGATTTTCAGAGCTCCTGCTGCTTTTTGAGGCTTGTCTGCCCAAAAGAGGACACGCCGCTAAAAGCTGGGACAAAAAGACTGGAGGGTCACCGTTCGGGTTTCTCCCTGAAGAATATGCATGGAAATGTTCTCTATCTGCTGTTTACCCTGTGCAAAAAGATTGGCGGCTGACATGTAGGGCAGACCAAATATATGATACAACGAGGCTAGATGGATCATATCAGGAAATAGTCGAAAGCTGGAAAATTCGTTTTAGTGATGCTGCACAAACTTATCCTATTATGTGATCATCCATCTGAATGAAGAATCAAGTTTAGCCAATATTGCTTCAGTATTGCGATATGCAGTATCTCTATAATTTTTTACGAGTTACGCTACTGGTGGATGAGTTGGATGGGGTACACACGGTGCTGCAGCTTTTTTCATATTGCTGAAAAGTGAAATTATTGCTCTTTAAATATCATGTTAAGGTTTATCATGTTTTGCATCTAGGTTCATCTTCATAGATGAATTCATGGTAGCTTCGGTAATACGTATTGCAAACCTATTCTAACGCAGTTATAGGTTATTAAAAAAATTGAATATGCTGTAGTGTTTTTTCCGCGGGCAACAATATCATTTAAGACGTTCTCAAGGCAAAACAATACCTGAAAATCTTGACGTTCGAGTTCATACTCACTTTAACTTCAGAGTAACAGCAAAACAAATGCTGTATAATTTTAAAGCCGGCCAATGTAAACTTTTATGATGATACCCTGCTTGTGGTTAGTCCTAAATGCTGTTTGATGATTACGGTTTACAGGCCACTGGCTTTTAATGCAGAAGCTTCATTGACATTCCTGGATGCGAGAATAAGCAACGGTTCCTTCACTTCGTATGAAGAGATGTTCCTCTGTGATGTCTCTAAAATGTGCAATTAGATAAGGCGCCGTTTCAGACTACAGCATTCTGCTCAGTAGTTGAAAATTTTTCTTCACCCAGCTTTGACAGCGTTGAGCTTCTTGCTTTTTTCATTCAACTGCCAGTTAGTTGGAGATTGTTTTCAGTGGCATTAGCGTTCTATAGCCTGAAGTCATTTATTTTATGACCGTTCTTGGTTCATCAGATGTATAGCCTGTCTGACCTGGGTAAAGTGCACCGATGTAATGGGTAGCTTGTGCATCAAGTCGTGTTTTTGTTATATTTTCCATTTTCAGATGAATCAGGCGAAGTGCAGGGTGGAGATCGGTTTAATAGTTAATTTGTCCCAACTTTATGCTTATTGGATGAACTGTGGTCAGGTAATAAAGGTGTTGTGATTAGATTAACATCGGGAGGTAGGCTGTCTCATGAGATGTAATAGGCTTTCATACAACGTCTTCGGTGGATATATGTTTTTAGTAGTGATTCCTTGGCGTAAGTTCAGAGATGCATGTTTGGAAAAACATGTTAATCATTTTTTGACATTAAGTAAATTTAAAAAAGGCCTGTTAGTTTTCTGTTTGTTTGCGTCCGCAACGTATTAAATCGTTTTGTTGAATTTCAGGCTGTTCCAAAGATCAAATAGCATACGTCGAGTTGTCCGTAGAAAGGTCAGTGGTGGCTCGTGTCTATCTCTCCGCAATCTATCCTAACGGCGAGGGAGATTTAATGCGCGATTTGTAAGTGCATCTTGTTCAGCCTGCGCCGGTAATATTTTTCCTTTTGAACGGTTTTAGGATATTTCACAACACAGTCCAGCGATTGTCGGAAATCATAACACCAAACCACAAAGCTTTGCACGTTCCGGAGGTTGCTTGATTTTCTTACAGTTTTTATGATGTACTGCATCATTCCAATGTTTGCCACTAGGTATTTCATGCCGAATGTCCGTGGCCTTCTGCGCAGAGCGAAATCGCGATAATAAACGCTTACAAGGTGCTTTCCTTGTTAATTTGTTAACCGTAACGCTGTAGTAATGTTTGCGGTAGCGTGTTCAGACCGCTCGCGACAAGCTGAAGTGCGTCGTCAAGTGTTGCCAGTCGATTGTGCATCTGCTGCACATGAGCAGCGGAAGACCGCCTAGTGCCGACGACGTTATGCCTGTGTTGGTGTTCGTCATCATCAAAGCGAATCCCGAAGCTTTGCTGTCAACGATTCAGTACATCAATGGATTCTACGGTAAGAGGATCGACGGCGAGAAGTCATACTGGTGGGTTCAGTTTTGCTCGGCTGTCGAGTACATAAAGGTCATTGCTGACTATGATACCTGAAAGTGCGTCAAAGCCGCTTTGCTTGAAGCTTCAAAGCCTTCTGTTTTCATCAGTTTTCGACCTTCATTTTGTAACTCAATGCTGTTGTACGTTGGCTTTCATGCGCCGACATCCTTTTACGAATGTTGCGGCTCGTTGTCCGCACTTTGCCTCATTTCTCGTATTTTATCGCTGAATTTCGAATAGATGACTTTTAATTAGGTGAACACTTAATCACTGCTAACCAGAGGTTACTTTTTGCAAGTATATATGTTCAAAGTTGAAGCTGTACGAGTATCTTGCTCCCAGGGTCCTTGCGTGAATCTGTTACGGTTATACTTATTCTAAACTATTTTTTCGTTCGTTTTCACATACGTCGAATAAACTTTTGGAACATCGGCGTTCTGTGTTATTGTTATTGTGATCGATCAGCTTTCACGTTCACGCTCGTACCTGAATACGCCCGATTTTGTGGTCGTGACACCTGTTTTGGTGGTCACCGACTTGTACGCAGTGCTGCATGTAGGTTTTAGTTCCAGGCGAAGAGAAGGGCCGTTTGGTCGTCGTTGTTGTGACTGTTCACAACTGCTCTTTGTATGGTCTAGATGCCGGGTTCCTCAAAGTAACTAATGCTGTTGTGAGAAAAGTAACGGTCGGCTAAGAGGACACTACCATCTTTCACAGCGGATATGAGCGAAGATGCGGCCGACGAACCGGGTATTCCAAGAGCTGCGTTGAACAAGCTGGTCAAGGAGGCGCTACCGCAGATCCGAATCGCGAACGACACTCGCGACATGCTGCACGCATGCTGTCTGGAGTTCATCGAACACATCGGCAGCGAGGCGAACCGCATATGCGCTCAAGAGCTGAAGAAGACGATCACGCACGAGCACGTGCTCAAGTGTATGCCTTATGTTGCTCGTTGTTCAGCCTTATTAACCGCGTCTTTCGTTGTTGTAGCATTGCAGAGCCTCGGTTTTGGTGCTGACTATCTGG